GTCATTGGTAAATATAGGAAGAGTTGGGGGTTAAATCATCTTGATATAGGAGTCATCTGTCACCAAACTATCAAGCAAGGGGCAAATCCGGGTCTATTTGCCGTAATTCGGGTATATTTGCTGTTTAATCATCTATTAGCACCATTGAACGTCTCAAGATACATTGATTACCTATAACACCCTTGGAACAGCCAACCTCTCTAACCTTTGTTTGATTGGTAGTTAGGAAGCAGCTACACACAAACCTCCGCATTTGTTAAATAAGATTTAGAATTGTACTATTCCAACTGAGTAGGAGTCTAGTAGTGGTGGAGCCCTGTACAGGTACCCCTACCTCCCCAAGTTAGAGCGGGTAATGCTATTAGGTTACATTTAGTGGCACAAGTGTCCCATGTCAACAGCATGAGACAAGTCTCCACACCAGAGATACGGGGGTTTATTCTGGAGATCTTAGCTTGTTTTATTGGAGTTGACGTCTTGCTTCTGGAGATCTTAGCTTCATTTGACCGTCTCAGCTGTTTTCCTTATTTCTAAGATTTCTAAGATTCTACGCCGCGTCGGTTGAAATGGTTTTGTGGTATCCCACCTTCTGTTCTTTGTATGAGTGTTAATAGTTTAGTACCTTACTACACTACTTGTAGTGTACTACCTACAAGTAGTGTACTACTTGTGTTAGAAGAGGTGGAATCACCAGGAGTCCTGTTTCAAACACTATGCTACCTAACTAAGCTACCTAACTAAGCTACCGTCAGGTAGTAGTAGTAGTAGTACCTGTTAAGTGTCAGGTCATACACAAGTACCTAACAAGGCCCAAGTTTTTGCTAAATGTTAGATTCTGGCTCAAATTACAATCCCGACTCCTAGTTGTATGGCAGACTGACCCACCTGTCTGGACAAGTGAGCATGAGACCCCTCCTAGTGATTATCCTCAACTTCACTAGATCATTGTTACCCATTTAAACTGAGTGTTATAGTTTTATAACTCCAGTTTCCACTTTACTTCCAACTCCAACTTATTTCCTACAATTGTCATCCCTTTCCTTACTTATGTAATTTCGGGGAACTCTGATCCCATCTTCCTGTATCATCCTGCTCTGTGACAGTTCCCTGGTCCTGTGTAATTTATAAATTACACAGGGAACTGTATATAAATATACTGGTTACTTTTGAAGACAGTTGTCAGATAACCCCCCTTTGAAGTATTGTCGTAATGGCTGGTGATGACTTACTGATCATTGCAGAATTACCCGTATTAACTGCTAGTGGTTCCGGTTCTGCTAATTTCAATACTTCATGACATCATAGCACAGGTATAGCAACATAGCAAACATCTATAAACAGCTCACACTGAGTTGCTACCTTTTCCCACAATCGTAACACCACATGTGTCTAAGTATACCCATCTTTATCTCGTTGTTATAGCCAGCAGCTCACTTGCTCTGATCCAGGAGGAGTATTGTTGCTCTGATCCAGGAGGAGTATCGTTGCTCTGATCCAGGAGGAGTATTGTTGCTCTGATCCAGGAGGAGTATTGTTGCTCTGATCCAGGAGGAGTATTGTTGGTCTGATCCAGGAGGAGTATTGTTGGTCTGATCCAGGAGGAGTATTGTCGCTCTGATCCAGGAGGAGTATTGTTGCTCTGATCCAGGAGGAGTATTGTTGCTCTGATCCAGGAGGAGTATTGTTGGTCTGATCCAGGAGGAGTATTGTTGGTCTGATCCAGGAGGAGTATTGTCGCTCTGATCCAGGAGGCAGGAGGAGTATTGTTGGTCTGATCCAGGAGGGGTGTTGTTGCTCTGATCCAGGAGGAGTGTTGTTGCTCTGATCCAGGAGGAGTATTGTTGCTCTGATCCAGGAGGAGTATTGTCGCTCTGATCCAGGAGGCAGGAGGAGTATTGTTGGTCTGATCCAGGAGGGGTGTTGTTGCTCTGATCCAGGAGGAGTATTGTTGGTCTGATCCAGGAGGAGTATTGTTGGTCTGATCCAGGAGGAGTATTGTTGGTCTGATCCAGGAGGCAGGAGGAGTATTGTTGATAGTGGTCCTCTCTAAATACTACTCTAATGTCAGGTCCTTACTTTTCCTCGCTTAGCAGTAATGGTGCCTTTTATCATCTCCTCTATTAAGTGATCATCTGTTGCTTGTAACTCTGTGTTGCATCAGGAAACGGTTACAGTTCGTGATTCTGCTTTCTCATTGGTTTAAAGTTATCACGTGACAGCAATACAGAGCTGCTATTGGTCGGCTGAGGTCACGTGGGGTCTGAATCTAGCCTTCTTATTGGCTTGCAGGTGGAGCTGTCTGGAGCAGTTGATGTACTGTGGGGACCTGTTTATGACATTATGCCTGCCGCAGAAAAGTTGCAGTTTTTCTCAATGGGGTAATTGGGTTAGAGTTGTGAGCCTTGGTGCTATGTTAGAGCTGTGAGCATTGGTGCTATGTTAGGGTGCAGACTACTGCACCCTGACTCTACTGCAGACTACCTACTAGAACGGGTGCTAATTGAGTAAACTCTTTACCAGGCTGATCAGTGTTTTCTTATCTAGAACTTTAGGCGTGCTTACAATCATAGGCTCTACATTTGATATGCTGCTTAAACTTTCAGCGAGTTGTCGTATAATATTAATGTGAATATTAAATCACCGTGAACTATTAGTGAAGTAGTGTCGTGTTAATTGGTGGGTTAATAACACCACTAATTAGGTTTGTGTCTCGTTAATTGGTGGGTTAATAACACCAACAATTAGGTTTGTGTCTTGTTAAATGGCGACAGTAACTTGTGCTGCTCTTGTTTTCTAACTTAACCAACCACCTTGTTCATAACTACTTCAGAGCACATTACCTCTGATAGGATTTAGATCCCACTTCTTTCACCTGCTAGACAGTGTATCCTAAGGTGAAACTCTCTTAACATGACGTAGTCACTTGAACCAGTCATTCTATTGGATTAGTTTCTTTACGCCGACCTGTTATCCTGCTAACTCCCCTGAATTGTATATTCATTTCCCGGTTCTGCAGGACAGTTAGTACCTAGAACCAGCCTACCGTACAGTTAATACACCGGTCTCTGTTTTAAGGAGACAGTCTTTATGTCTAGTTAAATTCAGTAGTTAACCTAGACTCACTACACAGAATCTCTGTTTGTTTCTAGAACCAGCTCTTCTCCGTACTTATATTCGATATGTTTCTAAACTCCCTTATGTTTCTAAACTTCCTTATGTTTCTTCTCTGTGCGACTCTACAAAATTCGTTTGAAATTACCCAAGTTGCTTCACATAATTGATCTGGTTTATTTGCAATAATAAGTTTGATGAGTTTTATTACTGTATCCAATTAAGCGCTGATATATTACTACTTGATTCTTTCTTGTCACTACTATTTGTTACTCTTGTGAATGTTCCTCCTTAATCTATCTCACCCACAAGTGTTGAAGTATGGAATTTGACTCACATTCCTCCTCTGACTCAGACTCAGACTGTGACTCAGCCTGTGAGTCAGATTCAGCCTGTGAGTCTGAGTCTGATTGTGAGACATGTGATGAGGACCCTTTCATGGGTGCTGTAGGGGTTTATGAGAGGATGCTTAACAAGGTAATTACTAATTAGGTATTACTACACTATTTAACAAGGTAATTACTAATTAGGTATTACTACACTATTTAACAAGGTAATTACTAATTAGGTATTACTACACTATTTAACAAGGTAATTACTAATTAGGTATTACTACACTATTTAACAAGGTAATTACTAATTAGGTATTACTACACTATTTAACAAGGTAATTACTAATTAGGTATTACTACACTATTTAACAAGGTAATTACTAATTAGGTATTACTACACTATTTAACAAGGTAATTACTAATTAGGTATTACTACACTATTTAACAAGGTAATTAGGTATAACACTATTTAACAACTCATATAGAACAGGTTTAACATGGTTTTCACATTATAATTATGATTAATTCCGTTACAACAACTATAAAGGTATTGTAAATAACCCAAATCAAGCTCTTTCATGTTTCATATTTTCAGTATGCTATATCTATTATTTAGAATATGTAACTATGAGTCATGTTGTATTAATATAACATATTGTATCACTGTTACCTAGTGTTACCTAGTGTTAACAACACCACTAGTATTCAGCAACATGATAAACACCACTAGTAGCTTAGTCGTCAACAACACACAATATACGCCTATTCTTCTCACTAAACAGATCAAATAATCAATTACGAATATTCTACTTGATCGTGACGTCATGACACTAGGACGTTAGGACACGTCACTGATAAGGGTGTCGGAATTTACTGAGGAATATATCCTAGAACTGTACAGTAGCTGTGTGTAATACTAATGATAACTACGTCAAACAGGATGTGAGATACTGTTTTACTATAGTTCACTGTTTTATAGTTTAGTAGAGTAAGGATTCAGGAGTCTGCTTTTTGACAGAGCACTAATTGTAACGATGACTTCTAGTTAAGTTTTATCGGCGTTCGTAAGCTGAGGAAGAATTTTAGATATTCAAATAATTTACCGATAATGTTCTCGAATACCAATGTAAGTGGACAGTAATTATTGAAATTCTATATTTAATATTTATCTTCACGAAAACTATCTAATATTGCAATAACTTAACGGCTGTAAACTTTTTGCCTAATTACATATGTTCGTTGAACCAACCAATAATAAAAACACTTCAAAATCTCCTTTTTAATATACTTTGCATTTTTAATATACTTTGCATTTTTGAACACGAAGGCAAACACACAACATGAGGCTTGAAATCTCCGTAATGATACATCATTAGAACCTGTAAAACATTTGAGGTAATATCTCTATCAAGCGAAATTCGTATAATCTTCTAAAATGTATAATATCAATACCTTTAAATTTAAAATAATATCTATTATTAAGCAGTGTAGTAGCAGTGTAGTAGTGTAGTAGTTTAGTAGTAGTTTAAACATGCTTTTAAGACCTCCTCCCCCCAGATCACGGAAGAGAGAAGGAGAGTTCCCCACATTATAAAAGACAAAGCTTACTCAGCTCTAACCTCGGAGAACTCCTACCTGGACAAGTTCGTACGGAACATTCAGGAGGACCTGGACGCTATGTTGCAGGAGAGCAGGGAGATAGACACCTTGTTACTCAGCAGGACTACTAGCATTAATAGGTACGTGTAGTAGTGTAGTAGTGTAGTAACACCTTTTTACTCAGCAGGACTACTAGCATTAATAGGTGCGTGTTTTAGGGCTTATTCTAACATTACACTCCACCTTGTTACTGAGCAGGACTACTAGCATTAATAGGTGCGTGTTTTAGGGTTCATTCTAACATTACACTCCACCTTGTTACTCAGCAGGACTACTAGCATTAATAGGTGCGTGTTTTAGGGTTCATTCTAACATTACACTCCACCTTGTTACTGAGCAGGACTACTAGCATTAATAGGTGCGTGTTTTAGGGCTTATTCTAACATTACACTCCACCTTGTTACTGAGCAGGACTACTAGCATTAATAGGTGCGTGTTTTAGGGTTCATTCTAACATTACACTCCACCTTGTTACTCAGCAGGACTACTAGCATTAATAGGTGCGTGTTTTAGGGTTCATTCTAACATTACACTCCACCTTGTTACTGAGCAGGACTACTAGCATTAATAGGTGCGTGTTTTAGGGTTCATTCTAACATTACACTCCACCTTTTTTTTTTTTTTTTTTTTTTTGTCGCGACACCCACTGACCACCGTCATATAGAGGTGGCGACCCTCCACTTGGGGAGCGTCCTACTGGAGTCCATCCATCTGCATTAAGCCCCTTCCCTGAGGGCCACTGGATGATAATACCTGCTAAGGTATCAGCCGAATCGGGGTTGCACCTCCGGAGATTTACTAACTTGGTCCCTAGGGAAGTTCTGGGTGGTTACCCTGGCCGCTCAACACCATGAAAGGATGACGCCCGTGCTGAGTAATGCTGGCTCTTGAGACTTGGTGAGACGTAGGTTGCTAATGGCGGTTGCGGGTGTGCTAACGTTTAGATAGTGTGTTAGGTGGTGGGGAACTGTATTGATACTATCTGCCTTATGGTGGCTGAGCTAAAACGTGAGGGTTTGTGACGTCACGTGAGGTGGACTCTCACTCAGTCCAGAAATAACAGGAGCAGGGATCATATTGTACGACACAGGAAATACAGGTTCTGATCCAGGGTCCATTTATGCCATTACACACATTACACACGTTTGGTGTGGTAACTACTATACATTACTCCCATAACACTCCCACAATGTAGCGATACTCCCATTGCACTCCCACATTGTAGCGATACTCCCATTACACTCCCACAATGTAGCGATACTCCCATAACACTCCCACATTGTAGCGATACTCCCATTACACTCCCACAATGTAGCGATACTCCCATTACACTCCCATATTGTAGCGATACTCCCATTACACTCCCACATTGTAGCGATACTCCCATTACACTCCCATATTGTAGCGATACTCCCATTATACTCCCACATTGTAGCGATACTCCCATTACACTCCCACATTGTAGCGATACTCCCATTACACTCCCATATTGTAGCGATACTCCCATTACACTCCCATATTGTAGCGATACTCCCATTACACTCCCACATTGTAGCGATACTCCCATTACACTCCCATATTGTAGCGATACTCCCATTACACTCCCACATTGTAGCGATACTCCCATTACACTCCCATATTGTAGCGATACTCCCATTACACTCCCACATTGTAGCGATACTCCCATTACACTCTCCGAGGGGGCGGCAAATTTGCAAACAGGGGGGCAGCAAAACCCAGCGGGCTAATTAATGTAGAGACTGGCAAGCAGAACGGCTATATTAACAAGTGGTTTAATCCGGTTTGGCTTGTCATGATCGAAATACCGCACCGCGGCGTGAGGTTAGTGTCACGTGGGAGTCAGGTGAGTGTTATTGGTACTAGCGGGAAGCAGTACTGTGCGCGCACCCGCTGTTTATGACTGCGCGCCAATCTTTGCTTATATCTGGGGCGTTAGTCGATCGTTGCCGGTAGAGTCCTGGTACATAAGGGGGCCCACTAGCGCTGTCGGCTCTATAGTAACCCGAGGAGCTGGCGTATTCAAGGCCCACCATGGCTTTTACGAGTTGCCTCGTGAGTTAAACTGGTGTATTCATAGCCCACCATGGCATTGCGAGTCCCCTCGCTAGGCACAAGATTCTTTTATAGACACTAATGCTGCCTCGCCACAAAGTGCAATGCGGACAGACATGAGCCCTGGAAGAACCAGTAAAACCTGACAAGGATTCTCACCCTGTTACACTCCACCTTGTTACTCAGCAGGACTACTAGCATTAATAGGTGCGTGTTTTAGGGTTCATTCTAACATTACACTCCACCTTGTTACTCAGCAGGACTACTAGCATTAATAGGTGCGTGTTTTAGGGTTCATTCTAACATTACACTCCACCTTGTTACTCAGCAGGACTACTAGCATTAATAGGTGCGTGTTTTAGGGCTTATTCTAACATTACACTCCACCTTGTTACTGAGCAGGACTACTAGCATTAATAGGTGCGTGTTTTAGGGCTTATTCTAACATTACACTCCACCTTGTTACTGAGCAGGACTACTAGCATTAATAGGTGCGTGTTTTAGGGCTTATTCTAACATTACACTCCACCTTGTTACTCAGCAGGACTACTAGCATTAATAGGTGCGTGTTTTAGGGCTTATTCTAACATTACACTCCACCTTGTTACTGAGCAGGACTACTAGCATTAATAGGTGCGTGTTTTAGGGTTCATTCTAACATTACACTCCACCTTGTTACTCAGCAGGACTACTAGCATTAATAGGTGCGTGTTTTAGGGTTCATTCTAACATTACACTCCACCTTGTTACTGAGCAGGACTACTAGCATTAATAGGTGCGTGTTTTAGGGTTCATTCTAACATTACACTCCACCTTGTTACTCAGCAGGACTACTAGCATTAATAGGTGCGTGTTTTAGGGTTCATTCTAACATTACACTCCACCTTGTTACTCAGCAGGACTACTAGCATTAATAGGTGCGTGTTTTAGGGTTCATTCTAACATTACACTCCACCTTGTTACTCAGCAGGACTACTAGCATTAATAGGTGCGTGTTTTAGGGCTTATTCTAACATTACACTCCACCTTGTTACTGAGCAGGACTACTAGCATTAATAGGTGCGTGTTTTAGGGCTTATTCTAACATTACACTCCACCTTGTTACTGAGCAGGACTACTAGCATTAATAGGTGCGTGTTTTAGGGCTTATTCTAACATTACACTCCACCTTGTTACTGAGCAGGACTACTAGCATTAATAGGTGCGTGTTTTAGGGTTCATTCTAACATTACACTCCACCTTGTTACTCAGCAGGACTACTAGCATTAATACTTTAATAGGTGCGTGTTTTAGGGTTCATTCTAACATTACACTCCACCTTGTTACTCAGCAGGACTACTAGCATTAATAGGTGCGTGTTTTAGGGTTCATTCTAACATTACACTCCACCTTGTTACTGAGCAGGACTACTAGCATTAATAGGTGCGTGTTTTAGGGTTCATTCTAACATTACACTCCACCTTGTTACTCAGCAGGACTACTAGCATTAATAGGTGCGTGTTTTAGGGTTCATTCTAACATTACACTCCACCTTGTTACTCAGCAGGACTACTAGCATTAATACTTTAATAGGTGCGTGTTTTAGGGTTCATTCTAACATTACACTCCACCTTGTTACTCAGCAGGACTACTAGCATTAATAGGTGCGTGTTTTAGGGTTCATTCTAACATTACACTCCACCTTGTTACTGAGCAGGACTACTAGCATTAATAGGTGCGTGTTTTAGGGTTCATTCTAACATTACACTCCACCTTGTTACTCAGCAGGACTACTAGCATTAATAGGTGCGTGTTTTAGGGCTTATTCTAACATTACACTCCACCTTGTTACTCAGCAGGACTACTAGCATTAATAGGTGCGTGTTTTAGGGTTCATTCTAACATTACACCCCACAATTTGCCTTGTTGTCTTGGTTAATTGGTCAAATTGAGACAACTGTTTCCTACTTTTCTCTTATATCGTCCGTTTATAGTTATTGAGTTCGACAATCGGCGTTAACTTTTTGCCTGGACAAGCTATCGATAACTCTGGTTATTCAACTATTCGAATGTCAAGAATTATTGTAGATGTTTATAATAATTTGCTTGTTGATAGATGGCATATTGTCTATTGTCGGACTGATTATTAATATTCTCGATTGATTAATTGTGCGGGTAGCGGATGTAAATATATTGATCATCAAGTCACATGCGGAACGGGACAGTTTAATATTATCAAGTATGCGGATATTATCCCTTTCCGCATTTTATTTAGATTTGTTTTCGGTTGCCCGATAGGAATGACGTGCTGCACTCTTGTTGGCTTATCCAAATACTTGAACCCTATAACACACCGCCTTTAAGTGCCCCGTGCTAGTTGAAAATAACAACAACAATGCTCCTCACGAGATATTCTAAGTGATACAACAGCCTGATGTGACGGTGCGTGACGGTGCGTGACGTAGGCCCCATTAAGACATGTTACCATCCTACCAACTCAAGTTCTCTAAGATCTTGTGCGTTCTGACCGTTATTAGTCCGTCCGAAACCCTAGAACTGTCTAAATTAGCCCTGTCAACGCAGCCGGCAGCATACCTTGAACACCAACTAATATATCGCGCGGCGCACACACTGCTATATACTAGTTCTCCATTTTGTTTTTGCAGTACGACCCTCTAACCGCACAGCACAGTCCCTAACAGCACGGCTCAGTCCCTAACCGCACGGCTCAGTCCCTAACCGCACAGCTCATCCCCTCCCAGTTTGTTCCGTGGATCCTACACACTACTTCACAGAGAGTTCCTGCACTTTCCCACCGTACAAGCAAACTCAGTTCACAAGCAAATCTTGCTTATCATTATCTGACACGTGCTATTTGGCTGCGCTCTGGTTGGCGAGGATCATCAAACACTGGCTACAGTCCATTTAATTCCATTAGAAGCTATTTGTTTGTTACCATCTTTGTCACACTAAGAAGCTTCCTCCAGTTGGGATGAAATGTTAGTGTTAAAAGTCCTCTGCAATTTTGATAGTTTTATCGGTGGATTTGGTAAGATTATCTTCGGGAAGCGTGGCAGAGAGTTTAGGAATAGCAGAGATTGGAAGAATAGCAGAGATTTGAGGAATGTCTCCTCTCCTTGTGTACCAAGGTATTAACACTTCCTCTCTACTAGTCTCACTGGCGGGTGATAACAGCAGCTCCTAACTGATATTACTAGTTCTTTAGCTGCTACTTAGTTACCACTCTCTACTTACCAGTTGTTGTTTTGTTGCTGTTATATAAATGTTTTACTAATGTATTTCCTGATTTAAACGATTTCGTGTTCCTCACCATATTAGCCAACTTACTAATCGAGTAGTCGCGTATATTACTATATCGTCACAATCTCATAATGCCTGTTGTCCCACCATTTTCAAACTCTCTTCTCTCAGTCTCAACTCCGTCACGTCCTCGGGCTCGGTCTCCAGCGACAGTAAGATGTCCATCACCTCCGACGAGGGCTGCACTAGATCCAGACAGCCTCAAGCTAAACTACCTAACGGGAACGTGCCTACTGGCAAGCCACCTCCCCACTACAACCGACACCAGGTACTTTTAGTTTTACTTATTACACTGGAGTTACTTATAGCAGCTCCTGATACTTGTTAGTAGCCCGTTAATGTGTTAGGTTTACTGTCTAGATGGTGCAGTCAAATAAGGCTACCCTCAATTTAGGTAAACATTTAAACATGATCTCAGATCACCTGACAACACTAGTGCTGTGCCTCACAAATCACACACATGTGTACTACTCCTGAGTACACATCACTACTGCTGAGTGTACTGATGTGCACATGACACTTGAAGTGTTACAACTGTGTAATTGACAGTTCCAACAAGCTTTATTTAACATTATAATGTCCTTGAGCACTGGGCATGGCCTGTCTCTTGTCAACTGTTTTAGGCTTCTTAATTGAAACTAACAATGTAATGATCTAAACCCAGCTAATACCCGCTATGACACATCCTATCTAGATCTGCCAAACAACAAAACAGCTTGTATGATCGTTAATTAGAATATTGTCTGTTGTTACTGAGATTCTCCATGATATCATACATCTTAACACAGTTCTCCCTCCAGAGCGCAGAATCCCAGCCCTCAGTGTCCAAGAAGCAAGCCTGCCACAGACCTGACAGTATTAACTCAGACAGCGGCATTATTGGATCATCAGGATCAGATACCAGCCAGGTTAGTGCAATGTAACTGTGATGTAGTGTGTGTTAGCTGATGTAACTAGTGGTTGTGTGTGTTAGCTGATGTAACTAGTGGTTGTGTGTGTTAGCTGATATAACTAGTGGTTGTGTGTGTTAGCTGATGTAACTAGTGGTTGTGTGTGTTAGCTGATGTAACTGTGATAACTAGTGGTTAGTGGTTACTAGTGTGGGAGGGTACTCAGGGTTGCAACCCTCCTCTAAATACTGCTCCTCACAACATGTTATCGCGTGATATAATTCTAAATAGTTGACATATTATGCTACCTAGTATAATACTAACTACTACTACTAGTTTAATACTAACTACCTCTATTTACCAGTCACGGTGGAGCTGGCCAGAGGAAGGTAAAACAGCAACAGCAGCGCCACCTCAGACCACTACTGCTGACAAGACTACTTGTGGAGACGACAAGAGACTGAAGCTAGTAGTGGAGGAGCTGATCAAGTCAGAACACGACTTTGTGTCCGGACTTAACTTCATAGTCCGGCAGTATACCGCTCATCTTATGAAACATCGCCTCTGGGTCGTCAGCCAGACGTTATTAGGTGCTTACTGTTACTTCTCATGATACGATTGTAAGGTTTTAATGTTGTAATGCGGATATAACAACTTAGGGACGTCACAAGTTAGTGACGTCACCAAATAAACTTGCTGAGTTTCTATAATAATAATAACATTCTCACCCCACCAGGTAACGTTGAGGAGATATTCAAGTTCCACCGGGAGCTGTTCCTACCCGACCTGCTACAATGTGGTGGTGACCCTATCAAAGTGGCTGCAATCTTCCTTAAATACCGCACTAAGTACGATCTACACGTGCAATACTGCGTCAACAAACCCAAGTCAGAGGCAGTGTACAGCGAGCACGAGCTCGAGATGGAGCAGATACAGAAGATTCTCAACCAGAACTTCTCTCTTTCGTCCTTCCTGATCAAGCCAGTTCAGAGAATTACCAAGTATCAGTTACTGTTAGCAGAGATCCTGAAGTTTGGGAAGAGTTGTAACCTACAGAACCTGGATCAGGTAGAGGAGGCGTATAATGTGATGATAGAGGTTCCCAGGAAGGCTAATAATCTCATGCACTTAGAAATGTTCGAGGATCCCCCAGATGATAAATTAGTACATCAGGACTCGCTGTCAGTTATCAACGGTTCAGCCTGGATCCAGGGTCAGGGCAAACAGCGCCAAGTCTTCCTATTCAAACACTGCCTTGTTTTAGCGAAACATGAAATGGAAGGGAAGAAACTGAAATCTTACTCTACAAAGAATGTTATAGATCTAGCAAACGCTAGTGTCCTGGTAGAGGAGGAAACTTGCCGGTTCTCAGTTTCTAACAATTCAACAAAGTTTTGTTTTTGTGCGGATAGTCAGTCCAAGAAAGCTGAGTGGGCTAGGTTTGTTAAACAGGGGATAGAGTATTGCTCTAAAGATAAGGACAGGGGCAGTTTGGGATCAAACAACTCTAACGAAGAGAACAAAAAGGGTATTAATCAGAAAATCAGATCTTCTCTCCGCTTTCACAAACGAAGGAAATCATTAACTAAAATAAGTTTGAAGGAGGACGATATAATAAAGGAATCTGAGCAGAGCGATTGGGCTCAGCCTTACATAACCAGTAATCGTATACCCACTGAGGATATACTGAGGGACAAAACAGAGCAGAACTACGACCGGTGCATCTCTAAGCTCAGTAACATCTCAATGAGTATAGACCACATCAACCTGATAGTGCCCAGTGAACACCCCGCCACGCAGAGTCAGCCGGACAGTACCTACCCCTCTGCAGCACTAGCCCAGGCCCCCCCTTCAGCTAACTTGCAGTCTGGCTACAAGTTTACTGACATACTATTTTACGGTCACTTCTCGGTGTTCTGCACCTGTGAGCACCAGAGAACGGGGCTGAAGTTCACTGCGCAGGTTACCCCGGTAGTGGACAGACAGTTCTACAGGTCCATACAGAGAGAGGTGGATATTCTGCAGCAGCTCAACTACAAGCGGGTCAGCAGACTGCACGAGGTGCTCCTGCAGTATGATAACTGTATTGTGCTGATTATGAGCTACCAGTTCCAACTACCCCTCATGGACTTCCTCCTTCTTAAGGAGTCTAACAAGGAGCACGAGACTATCGAGATTATAAAGAATGTTCTGGAAGGAGTGTCTTATTTACACGCCCGTTCTATCGCACATCTGGACCTGAAACCTGAGAACTTGATCTGGGATAAGACCACTGTAAAGGTAAGTTATTTACAACTTAGTGATCAGCCAATGTGTTGGTTTTTGGCACAGTCCTAAAATTAGCACTTATTGGAATGTGGTAGATAAGTTTAGACTCACCTTTTTGCTGAGACTTGAAGTCTATAAGTCTCATTTTACCGTTGAGTAAACCCAAATACTGAAGAAAGGAACGTTAATAAAATACACATATTCAGATAATAAACTACGAGCTGGCCCACTATGTGGACACTAATAAAATGACACATATTCAGATAATAAACTACGAGCTGGCCCACTATGTGGACACTAATAAAATACACATCTTCAGATAACAAACTACGAGCTGGCCCACTATGTGGACACTAATAAAATACACATCTTCAGATAATAAACTACGAGCTGGCCCACTATGTGGACACTAATAAAATGACACATATTCAGATAATAAACTACGAGCTGGCCCACTATGTGGACACTAATAAAATGACACATATTCAGATAATAAACTACGAGTTGGCCCACTATGTGGACGAAGAGAACGTGTTCCTAGAACCCAGCATGTTGGACCCTGAGTTTGCAGCTCCGGAGCTCCTGCAGGGGCGGGTCTCTACCACTGCTGCTGATATATGGTTAGTGAGACTTGTTATTGTTGTGTTATACTCACTGTAGCGATCAGGGAGTGGGTATTAGGGAGGTATTTCTAAATCTTCGTTCTTGACGAAACGTGTTAACTGTTACTGTGGATTGCTGTAGCATCCTTGTATTACTGGTATGCGACATATCCTGAATGCCTAAGTCCTAAGAATGTGCGTATATACAAGAAAATCCTCCTAACGCCTCTTTTGGGCATGATGATCGCAATTAGTTGCCACGTGGAGCAATGTACTATAAAATAGAGAGGGTAAAGGTATATAAAACCTGCTGAGTACTTATAGTCAGATATAAAAACTAACAAACTGATTACTTAAATTTAACCCTGTATGTTCAGGTCGGTGGGCGTGTTGACATATCTCCTACTCTACTCAGACAGTCCCTTCTTCTTACAAGGCCAGATAATCCCTCCCCAAATGAGAGCGTTCCACAACACTAAAGGTAACAGTGTTCTGGGAGATAACACCCTGGTCTTCCTCTCCTCCCTGCTTCAGAACGACCCCCGGAGGAGACCTAACGGTCAGGGCTGTCTCAACTCAACCTGGATCAAATCTAGCAGCAGTAGAAATAGTGGGGTCTTTGTGGACAAGGGGCGACTCAGGAAGTTCTACCAGCGACGGAGACACGAGGCAGCCAGCAAAGTGGTGGATATTCCTGATGCTGTTCTCGACTCTCTCGGGCTCAGTTATGACATGTTGTAGAGGCACTGGGATCTATGTATATTGACAATTTTTTAACGATTGGACCATGTATGACCATGAATATAAGTCTAGCACAAAACTTTATACGATTTTGATGAATAATTATAGAGCAAACATTATCACTTAAATTCAGACATTTGAAGTGAGATTTGGCAAAATTTGTTTGTGCAGGAAGTTTTAAGAGAAGAACTCGTTCGTTATAACATATTATTAAAGTTCGGAGTTATTAAGTCTTCATTTTGAGACTATGAAAATATGCCCGGATTTTTATTATCAAGATCTCGAAAATGTAGCACAATGTTCGTCCTGTTTTTGATTGATATTTTTAATGTTCATTTCTATTTATTTGTTGCAACGTTGTGTAATTTGATTTATCAATTTGTATTAAATTTTTATTGTAGAATTTTAGAAGAAATTTTGAACGTTTTCACTAATGTTAACTAATTGTCTAATTTGTCTCCCTTTTTTTACAATATGGTAAATGGAAATACTCTATTATTTTCATTTCATTATAATTTATATTATTACTATAATATAAATTATAATGAATGTAAAAAGAAGAGAGAGAAAAGATAAACTTAAAGGTTTCGGGGTAAAGAGAGAAAGAGAGGAGAGGAAAGCAGAGTGGGGTATTAGCCAATATTATTATTGGAGGGATAAGAATGTCATGCATTGGTAATTGGTATGACGAGCCTGATTGCTGATAACAAGCAGGGTGCCATCGACAGTGAGCCGTGCATACCGACTTAACAGCTGTAGGATGGTAATGGTATTGAAAAAGCTAATAGAATAACATATTTGGTGAACTTCCGCCATTCCCTTAATCCAATCCTAACAAAAAATTAATAGCTTTCCTAAAGTTAGACACTTACTAGGAGACATCAACTAAAATTTCGAGTATATCCAATCATCAGACATTATGTTACACTTACAGCTCAAATTAGCTGCTTTCGCGGCTCAAAAAGCCGCGCGTCATTAATTATGGTACGGATGTTACTCGTCTATGGTCTAAATATCTTCAAAGTAGCGCGCCGCTTTCTTCTCGAAATTTTATCAGTCAATTGACGATGTCAATTCATCGCAGCTCGGTGCGAGCGTGCTAAATCACTCTACAGTCGATCTTCGAGATTGTTCTAAAAGGGCTCCCGACAGTTGAAACCAACTTCAATCGATGTATTTTCGGACGCTGATTCCGAATCACCCCCCATGACATAGGGTTAAAATGCTCATGCTCCCCTGACGAGATATTGGCGAAAAACTGTCTCGATCACGTGATATGACCGTATAAGGAAGTTAGTCTAATTTCTCGTTAGGGTTAGGGTTTCAGCATATGCTTTTGTTATGGATTGGGTTAGGGTTAGGGTTGGAATCAGACTAGAGGGTTAGGGTTTCGAATAGTCTTGATTCACGATGTCAATCCTTCGCAGCTCGGTGAGGCACAGTGGTGCATCTCGCCGATCTACCGAAGGTGGTTGCGAGAAGCATTATTTGATGCGCGCGCGACCCAGTAGTGCATCGCGCTACAACGAATAGTCTTTCAGGGCCAGCTAGAGAACGGGTTGAAAAAGTCACGTGACAGTCTAGTGTAGAGTCTACACTCGACTGTCACTCGACTGTCACGTGACTCTACACTGTAGAGTGATTAATCATCATCCAGCTCGGTGAGGACCAGTAGCGCATCGCGCTACAAGTTATCGGCAACATGAGGCAAGCGCTAAGACGCTGAAGTAGCGCACGCCGGGTCAGTCCACTAAAAATGGACAAAACGTTCCAAAAAGTTCGATCATGGATTTGTGCACCTTACTTTAATGTTTAAATAATTACGTCTTACCATTAAAATCGAAATCAGCATTTACAAATGTACATAGAACGGTCAAAAGCTATTTGTTAAAAGTTCACATTGTCAAAAAAACATTTAACGGGTGTTACTCGTAAAATATTTGTTCCAAATATTAGGACCGTCGACGAGTCCATGAACTCGGCGCGCGTTCTGGAAGGTTATATACATACAAAAAAACATTAATAAAAATTGTCAAAAATCCGAGCAAGTTCAATTTTATCAGGCACATCTTTTGTAACGCAATGCATTAAGGGACCGCACCGCGCATCAAATAATCTTTCTTGCATCGTTAAATCGGTGCGATCCACCACTGGGCCACGCCGAACTACAAAATTGACATCGTCAATTAAGCACATTGTCAATCCAACTGATAGTTGGCACTCTATTATTCAAATTAGTTACATCTACTTTGCATGCAACCTATTCGCCGGCCTGGTTACGAGCTCCAGCTATGATGCATGAAATGTTAACCCAACCATGTGCTTTCGCGCCACTGCGGACGCGCTTGTTTCACCGGGAGGCGTGCGCGCGCCACTGCAAGCGCAAGGGCTCTGTATAGAGCAACATGAAATAATGGGGCCGGGGCGGGCAGCGTCTGTCATGGCATTAACAACTACTTAAATCAATGCACAGCTTACCTGGCACCGCGCTCTTTTTTAGCTTCTCACATTGAGTGTTGAGAGGTCGAGAGGAGCAAGCATCACAGTGCTGGCAAGCACGAGCGGTGTCTTTATTGGGGGGATACTATGTACCCCCTTTACTATTGTACCCCCTTTACTATTATAACCCCTTTACACCCCCTTTGGTACACGTTGGAAGCCTCTTTCGTGCACGCGAAGCGTGCACTCCGGCCGGAGGCGGCGGCCGAAGGCCGCCGCCTCCGGCAGGAGTTTTTCAGGCATTAAGACTCATCGGAAGTCGTTCAGCAGATTTATTTTTAGTTCAAAACATTCTAATTTGATGTCAAAGATGACAGAAATAAGAAATAGTTATGTTGAGATTTTGAAGAAATTTGCATAAAATTCGCGCCAGCACTGTTATACGAAATTCGGTAAAAAACCCGAAATCGCCATATTCAGGTGCCTTAAAAACCATGTTAAAATTGAGTTAGAGATCTGAAATTTTTCAGGGCGTCTAGACGTTGACCAAATGGACTGCAAAAAAAGTTTCAAGTTTCAGGAGCATCGGGAAATGGGTTTTCTAGAACCCCTGTTTTACGACAGATTGTCGTGATATATACATACATATATATATACATATATACATATATATATTCAGGGATAGACGCTTTGCCAGTCAATTATAGGCTATATTTAGGTGTCCGTAGATTCAGAAGCTTTAAAGATACAGCCATTTCGGACCACAGGTCTTGAAGATAATTGTTTAGACTTTAGTTTACATTATGTTAAAAAGTAATTCAACGTCATCATCACCACTTGATGACGTCATCAAGTTAACTATTTTTAAAACTTGATTTTTCACAAAGTAATCATTTTTAAAATCAATTTTACGCCATTAAGGAGTAATTTTATTCAAAATTTGAGGGCATATTGAAGTTAGATAATTGTTTAAGCATTCTGAAAATCTACCGGAAAGTTTTTCTAGCTTGCTCCTTCATAAAGATATTCGCTATTGAAGTTAGTGCTTTTTTAAAGAATAATTCTATAAAAACGCTAATTTTACGTTCTAGTATTCTCTGGTGTCGCACCATCCCTTGGGTTGTAGAGCTCAATTTTGCTTCCTAAAGGTCTAAATTGTGTCATAGGCTAGTTTTAAAGTTGAAAATCGAAAAGTTGCACACGTGGGGCCACGCCCAAATTGATAGAAAATTGCTAAAATCACTGAATATTGCTGTTTTCACCAATTTCCGTCAACTTTGGAGTGCCGTTGTGATTACAGTTCTTCTTGAAATACTTTGAAACTTTTCATGCTTATCAAACTATATATAAAACACCATGATGCAAAAATTTACGGTGATTCAATATTGGATGCGCACGCAACTTCCGCTCAAGGTTTGCACGTGCGAAAGGTTCAAATTTTGCTTATTCGTGATTTTGAACAAATTCTGCTTTGCCACGACAGTTCAATGTCATTATATATGAATTTAATGCCAACTTGAATGAGTATAAAGTGGCATATTCAGTCAGTGATCGACCGATATGCTTACCTAAACACAAGGAAATGTTTTTAAAGGAAAAATTTCGAAATCGTTGAAATCACCTCCTTATTAATATTAATGAAGTTATGAGTTTACATTTCGGCTTTGTAAAGTACCCTGACATTATAATCAAAAAGAGATGATATTTGACCAAAACCCATAATCATGGGTAGAGTGGACCGCTGCCAGTGTCTCTCTTTCCCAAACAAAAGGCAATGATATCAATTTGAATGACCGTTATCAAATGCAAAATGATACCGTGAATGAAATCGGTCGCTCGCTTTTCCCATTCATTTACAATTGAAACAGATTACATGTTATAAATCGAAACTTATTACAATTCGTAAGCCATGAATAAGTGGGAAAAGCGAGCGACCGATTTCATTCTCGGTATCATTTTGCATTTGATAACGGTCATTCAAATTGATATCATTGCCTTTTGTTTGGGAAAGAGAGACACTGGCAGCGGTCCACTCTACCCATGATTATGGGTTTTGGTCAATTAATATATAGACTATCAATACACAGTACCAAGTACATAATATTAACAAGCTTGTCACACGTTGTAGACCTGTTAGGAGTAGTTAGGAGAAGTTAGGAGAAGTTAGAAGAAGTTAGGAGAAGTTGGAAAAAGTTAGGAGAAGTTAGGAGAAGTTAGAAGAAGTTAGGAGAAGTTAGGAGAAGTTAGAAAAAGTTAGGAGAAGTTAGGAGAAGTTAAAAGAAGTTAGGAGAAGTTAGGAGAAGTTAGGAGAAGTTAGGAGAAGTTAAAAGAAGTTAAGAGAAGTTAGGAGAAGTTAGGAGAAGTTAAAAGAAGTTAAAAGAAGTTAGGAGAAGTTAAAAGAAGTTAGGAGAAGTTAGGAGAAGTTAGGAGAAGTTAAAAGAAGTTAGGAGAAGTTAGGAGAAGTTAAAAGAAGTTAGGAGAAGTTAGGAGAAGTTAAAAGAAGTTAGGAGAAGTTAGGAGAAGTTAAAAGAAGTTAGGAGAAGTTAGGAGAAGTTAGGAGAAGTTAGGAGAAGTTATGAGAAGTTAGAAGAAGTTAGGAGAAGTTAGGAGAAGTTAGGAGAAGTTAGAAGAAGTTAGGAGAAGTTAGAAGAAGTTAGGAGAAGTTAGGAGAAGTCAGGAGAAGTTAGGAGAAGTTAAAAGAAGTTAGGAGAAGTTAGGAGAAGTTAAAAGAAGTTAGGAGAAGTTAAGAGAAGTTAAAAGAAGTTAAAAGAAGTTAAAAGAAGTTAGGAGAAGTTAGGAGAAGTTAAAAGAAGTTAGGAGAAGTTAGGAGAAGTTAAAAGAAGTTAGGAGAAGCTAGGAGAAGTTAGAAGAAGTTAGGAGAAGTTAGGAGAAGTTAGGAGAAGTTAGGAGAAGTTAGAAGAAGTTAGGAGAAGTTAGGAGAAGTTAGGAGAAGTTACAGATGTGTAGGGATAAAATAGAAATGTTTAATATAATACTATTT